ATAAGTATAAGATATAATAGTAACTTTAAATTAAAGAAATGAATAAAAAAATACTGTAAGAATCTAACGCAACCGTAATCTAGCCAGTTATTATATATAATTTTGATGAACATTCACTTGTTAGCATGCACTATATAATTTATTTAATGATTTGTCTTGTGTGCATATCCAATTTTCAAAAAGATTAGATTAACCAAGAAAAAAAAATCATATGGTGGAATGTGAGGTTATATCAAGTAGTGGTGACCATAGATGGAACCTCAACATCTTTTGTATATCTTTTTCATATTACAAATAAGGGAGCATAGCATATGATCTTTTTTTCTTCTTCATGGTTTGGCCTTTTGTAATCATTTAGTTCCACGACGAAAAATCCATTATGTTGCAAAAGTTGAAGTTGAGGAATATAAAATGCATGCGCTCACTATGAATAAGGAGTATAATTTTTAAAATTCTATTTTATGCGATAATATTATATATTATGCATCTTTCATCATATTAGCAATTACCAAGTTAAGGAATTAGAAGTCACTTATTAGAATTTAGAATTGAGGTTAGGACCAATACATACAGGCTGTTATTATTCGCACAAGTTTAGTATTTTGAAGAATTGTAATTTATGAGGGTTTTATCTCAATTGTTTTTTGTTTCAACATGTACAATAACGATTGTTCTTATAAAAATCGTTTCTCAATCCAGTACAAAAGCACGAATGAAATTAAAAAGCTTCTTACACTGCATAAAGTGATTTTAATAAATTCAAATGAACATTATGTGAATACTTGTATACAGTAACAAGTTAAATAAAAAAAAAAAAAAAGTTACAAGAAATTAATCTTTCAATTGAAGAGTATAGGGTGGCCTAAGTTAATTAATAAAAAAATTTATACACGAGTGACAACTATTGGAAGACGGCCTTTATGAGTTATAATACACTTAAACCTTTTTTTTCCTAATACATGTACTATATTAATTTCATTGGAGTCAAATAATAGAGTTTGGTTTAGTAAACTACTAATGAATGATATAAGTCATGACCACTGAAGCAAAAGTGTTTAACATTTTAATAAGGACACATTAACATGGCTATTATTATATAATATAAACTTATAAAGTACGGTAAGATTTAACCTTTAAAAACATGGTGGCGGCAAAATAGTGGAGGTTAGACATAGTAGAGACATTTATTGGTGCTAACAAGAGACAAAATCTTGCGCATAGGAGCGATTCAAAAAGGGTGTGTTGCATTGACAATTTTATATAATTAATTATCAGCAACTTCATAGAAATTTAAGGATAGCATAATGATGATGATGTGAGTATGTATTAGACTATATAATATAAATATTTATTTTTTATTTTTTGTTTTTTTATGTTATAAATTAATGTTGCTTTTCTGGAAGTTACGTTGATTGCCATTAATACCGTACTTATATATGATTTAAATTTATTTTATTTTTCTTAATGTCAAAATCTTCAATTGAGTGGAATTCACATTTTTCATTATATGTTGGAAAAATATATATTTAATTATCATGAAAAGAATGGTACAAAGATGGCCTTAAATTGTTTGGCCAACAAAATTAATAACATTTTCACACAATTGGCCTAAAAGGCCATGCTAAAGTATTTTTAGCCTTCTAATATCATGAATAATCATAATCATAAAACATAAAAATAACAATAGTATTGTTTAATGTTGCATACATAATCGAATTCTCCTTTTATTTTTTATTATTATTTTTAAAAAGTTCTCAACTTGTAAATTATTCTAAATCAATACAATTCGTATTTTTTTTAAAGGTGTGATTGTGTGAGTGGATGAGTTTAGTCACTCTATTTACCAAATTTATTCTAAATTATGACACATTTTATCACTTTAGAGTTAATTTAATACGTAAAATGATTTGACGTGATTTTTTATGTGATTACCTATTATATGCAAGTTTTGCATCTAATCAAAGCATATGTCCTAAATTAGGCTATCATCAATCAACATTGACTAATTATAACAAATTTAACTTTGAACGAAGCCAACACCTTTAACTTTATTCGTGAAAATGTAGCTCTTTAGCTAGCACAATGATAGATGATTTTATTCTCCTTGAATTATTGGGCATGTATAGATTTAATTATATTCACTCAAATAGAATTAATCAACACACGTTATTTGTGGCTAAAGTATTGCACATTGGAGTTGAAAATGAGCATAGAGACCTTTTCACATGTATCCTTTCGAGAGGCTTTATTCTTATTCCATTGAAATTTGAAATTCCAAGGGGATAACTACATATACAAGCTAGGAACCAAATTTTATGGCTAAGTGAGGTTTACACTATCTCGCTATACTAGGTTGTTTGATCAATTTTTATTCACCACCGCTATTTATTTATTTGTATGATTAATGACAACCTTGAAGTTCCTCATTAACAAATACCAAAGACGATTGTACTCTATTTTCTTACTTGGATCTAATTTGATATGATCTTTTATAATTTGATATGATTTCTAGATGTGACTAAAATTTTACCTTTTTACGTACATAATCCTAAATACAAAAAAGGTTATCACATGATCTTGATATGTCATTAGATTCATACTAGTGTAGACTTTTCAAGTACATAGTATGAAATTTTCATCATTGTTTTAATAATTAAATTAAAGATATTTAATGATAAATAACACAAAGATGAGATTTAATTTGTTTTATTCTAATCTAATCTAATCCGATGATTATTTTTAAGCAAATATCATCTCAGATAAGCTAAACCAAACATAACCTAAATAATTTGTAGGTAACCATATGAGTATTTTTAAAAAATTTCAAACCACACTCATTGCATAAGGCAAGTTAGATTAAATTAAAGAATTGCCAATTAAATTTATTAACAACATTGCCGATTGATAGAATTTGTTTTGGTATAGATTTAAATCATATGACTTGGTTAAGTTCAATGGTTTGATGGTCAACATTTGACCCCAAAAGAAAAGGTCACTAATTAATTTAGTACATGATCACATCAACTTAACGTTAAAAACAATCAAATTTAATTTCGATCAATCGGCAAAGTTGTTCATTAAAAGAAGAAAGGTTACTAAAATATAGCTTGATTTACGTGGAAGTAACTATTTGAAAACATATAACGTTCGATTATATACACTTGGCTCCGTATTACTCGTAATAATTCTAGGTTTGAATATTAATAACATTGCATGTACAAAAATAACTAATGGCGCCAAAAGTGGAACGAGATTTTGAATAATTATATCCTAACTTTCCTTCCTTTTTTTCCCTTCCTATTTAATCGAAATAACATTAAATATATGCTACCGTGTAATCCAAGTTTTAATTTTTTAAAAAAATTATTTTATTTTATTTTATTTTGTCTAATTGGTTTTTAATGTACTAGGATTCCGAGTATAGTAATTAGGGTAAACACCAAATTATTAAAAAAAGTTATTCAGATTCAATCAGCTATTTTGACCAGATTTAGACTCAATTAAATTATCATATCAATTTAAGATCCCATCTATATAGAAGAAATTAAAAAATATAATTTATTTCTAATTGTAACATATTTATTTATATCTTTAACATATTTATCTCTTAAAGTAACAAGGCTAATCTATTTCCTTTTTTAGGTTTAAAAACAGTTGTATTTTTAGTATTATTGGTGCATTATTGTTGGCATCAACAAACCAATAATATTAACAATAATAATCCAATTTTACGGTAAACTTAGCTGGTGGTAGATTTTCAATTAACCAATTAATGGAAGTATATCAATGAGTATATGATTATGTTAAATACTTTTCATTACAAGAGTTTTTTTTTAAAAAATTGAAATAATAATAGGGTACTTCATTTAAATCTAAATTAATAAGCCTTTTCTTTTTTGGAGTGAATTTACACTAAAAAGGAAACTGATCTTCATGATTATGCAAAACCGTGTAAATTGATTGCATAACTTGACAACGTTGCATGCATGATAACTTAATATTGCATTATTGCCTTAGACTAAGGTACTATGAAAAAGGCATAATACGGAGTACAATACATCTTAATTTGGGAAAAAATTATTTGTTGCATGTAGAAAAATATTCACCTATATAATTTAATTAACATTTTATTGTAATTATTACTTTTCTCAATATTATACCTTTCAAAATTTTGCAAATTTTTGTTCTAAAAATTTAGATTAATTACGCAATCATATATATATACTGAAAAAATCTGTAATTTACATATATACCACACGTGTTGCTTTAATAAATGTATATTCGTGAAACTAATTACTCTGTATATATTTTTTGTAGTTAAGAAAATCTGACCCGAGTCTGTAGATAAGATATGTGAGACAGTGACAATGAAGGGTGTAAAACTAAATACTCCTACTTGGTCCGACCCTCATAAGATCATGTTAAATTCAGTCAAAATACAATACCATAGTACTCCACAATACTAGTATAAGTTATAAACTTTGTATTTTATAATCCATATTCTGTATTTAATACAATTAAAACGTATAAGTATAATGCAGGATTGAAGGGTGAATCAACCTTTTGCATGGGTTGGAATTGAATGAAAATTGTCATTCAACAAACCTCTGAAATCTCTGACCCGATAGTTTAGTCATAAGTTGTGCATGTTTTCGTACGTTTTCTTTCCCTTCCCACCTTCTCCTTATTGCTTTACTTTGAGTAAAAAAATCATAAATACAGTTACAATTATTTTTCTACAATTAAAATAATTATTTTTATTTCCTTTTAAAAAAAAATAATAATTGAAGGTGGGGAGATAGGCAGAATCCTAAGGCTTCTCATTCCCTTTTTAAGTTACTTTTACTTTTAATTAAAAATACAAAACAAATCTCGTCTTTACTCCCATTAAAAAATAATTTATTTATTTATTATTAAAAAAGTTATTAATATATTTTATTTTATCTTATTCCCATGCTGTAACCTTCATACGACTATATATATAAACATAACCTCCCAACACCCTTTTATTTTCTCTGTTCTTCGTTCATTGTTTTGTTTCTTAGCCTCCATACACATACCTTTTCCTCAGGACACCATCATTCTAGAGAGAGAAAATCTCCGTTTCTCATTTTCTTCTGTGGTTTATAACAACACAATCGTTTATTTGATTTGTGTTTTTAAGAAAAAACGTGAAAAATGGCCATACAAGCTCAGATGTACCCCGATAATCTTGGTTTACCATTGTTGGGTGGTGGCAACGGTGGTGGTGTTGGTGGTGGTGTTGCGCAACAAGATTGGTTGTTGTTGGCGAACAACCATATGAACAACAACAATAACAGCAACAGCTTTTTTAATGGTTGTGGGTTTAATGAGTTTACTGGTAATAGTAATCTTCAACAACAGAAGCAACAGCAGCAATTTCAATACCAGCAGCAACAACAACAACAAGCGTTGTTACAACTTCAGCAACAGTATTTGGCTCAACTTCAACAACAACAACGTGATTCTTGTGTTAGTAATATTAATAATGACGGTTTTGTGTTTTTGTCATCGTCAAAAAACTGTACAACCACAACAACTGCTACAACGCCAACCGCTAGTACCACTACAAGTGGAAGTTGTGATTATCAGATGCCAATGAATTTTTCACCGAGTTTTTCTGATCAACTCGAAAAACAGAGGCAGGAGATTGATAGATTCATTACTTTACAGGTTTGTTAAATTTTCTGATTAAATTTATATTTTTGGACACCCTTTTTGTTTAATTTTAATGGGTAATTATTAGATTTGGGTATTAATTATTAATTTTAATTTTTTTTCAGAATGAGAGGCTTAAAATGACATTACAAGAACAGAGGAAACAGCAATTAGGAGCAATAATGAGGAAATTAGAAGCGAAAGCAATGCAATTATTGCGTCAAAAAGACGAAGAAATTGCAAGAGCAACAAAAAGAACAATGGATTTAGAAGAAATAATCCGAAAAATGGAGAATGAAAATCAAGAGTGGCAAAGATTGGCAACAGAGAATGAAGCAATGGTGTTAACATTGAACAACACATTGGTGCAACTGAAAGAACAACAAGCAGGTTGTTTGACAACAACGTCATCATCATGTTGTTCGAATGAAGTTGACGATGCAGAATCATGCTGTAATGTTGTTGACAATAGCAACAATGAGTTTTCCAATAAAAAGAGGAAAAGAGATGAAACAGGGGTAGTTGTTGCAGAAACAGGGGAAAAGAGAGAGAAAACAGGGGAAGTGTTGTGCAAAGTTTGCAAAACTGGAAAATCGTGCGTGTTGTTGTTGCCTTGCAGGCATCTGTGTTGCTGCAAAGGATGTGAATCTTTTGTTGATGTTTGTCCTGTTTGTAAATCTGTAAAAATGGCAAGCATTGAAGCTCTTATTTCATGAAAATAGATAGGAGAGGAAAAAAAAAACAGATTTTTTTATTTAATTTTTTTTAGGAAAATTTGTCTAGATTTGATCAGAGTAAAAAAGAAAAAAGAAAACGGGTGAAATGAATTGAAAAAATACCCCATTTTGATCCTTTGTTACTGTTATTTTAGTCTTTTGGTAAATACTATTTTGTCCTTTTTGACAGATAAAATCAGAGGTGAGTGGAGGGAAATCACAATCAATTGAACAGAATTTTAGTACATTGGTAGCATCTTTGCCTATTTGATATTAATGCCTTTTTTGGTGCATTACTTTTTTTTTTTGAGTATGAGTCATGGATTTGATTAGAACATGTTTGAACATATGCAAATTGTTTTTTTTTTTTCATTTAAAGAATGATTAATATTTATTTTTTTCAAGTTAGTTTTATGTATTCGTCATTGAAAGAGCAATTTCAAAATCTAGGATCGAATCGGTTGGTTGTGGATCATGATATTTGAATGATTTTTCTTTCTAATTTGTTGAGAATCGTTTTGAAATCGTCTGCACTCTATTCCAAATTTAAGTTTGAACAAGAATTGCTTAAGTTTCGCAAAATTATTGAATATAGGAGTTACAAGAACCTATAGCTTTACTTTCTTTTATTGTGTTCTCATTATGTTCAATGAATATATATCATGTACTCAACTTTCATCAAGAACTTTCGTAGTTGGAATCACAAAAATTACTACTCAAATTCCAAAGTCCTGACTTGCATTAAATCGTGTATATGAAACCTAACACATCGGAACAATAAGGTATAGAAGATAAATATGTTGTAGAAGATTGAGTATAAATTTAACATCATTACGGCATTTAAGTCATTTTACAATATATTCGTGATTAATTTTAGTGGTACCTTTAATTTTACTTGCTTTCAAAGAAAAAGGGTGAAAAAGGGTTTAATAATGTAGAGAGATTTGTAAAAATTGATTCTTTTACACCTAAAAACAATCCTAAAAAGAGATTCACATAAATGGATGCCTATCAAGCTGACATGTTATCCTTTAAAATCACCACTCTTCACTACTTTGACCACTGAAAAAGTTTTTGTTTGTTATTGGTTATGATAATTGAATTATTCAATATTCTACTCCGTATGTTTTAATTTTCCCACAATTAAAAATAAACATTTGACAGATGGGATTGACAGGAGCTTCTTGTTCACACTTCCCACATACACAGAAACCCAAAAGCAAACAGAAGATGGACGATTTTCTGTGCCCCACATTTATTTTATTTTATTTTATTAATAATTTCTCAAAAATCCAAACTAAAATAAAATATAATTTCTCATTTTCTCATAAAACTAAAAATAAAAAAATACAACTAGTTGTCCAAAAAAGCTGAGGCTATGCAGTATGCACTAATTGCACTACCATATAACCCTGCAACAACTGAGCTGAAAGTAACCCCCAAAAATATATTGATAGTAAAAATAGAAAATTAAAAAATAAAACAAAATAAAAAGTTGGGGGACACCCACAACTTTAATGGTGAAGCATTGAAAAGGGAAGATTGCCTTGTAATGTACGTGCAAACTTTTATGAATATTTACAAACTATGGTATTGGTATTTGTCCTTTTTTATGGAAGTATTTTTAAGTTTATTTTAATTTTTCCAAACGGTTACATGGGATGTGGTCCGTACTGTTGGGTCTTATCAAAAGTGTTTGGAGTTTAGTGTCCCACATTTATGTGCATCTTTTCTTTATTTTTTCGGGGCTGCCCAACTTGCACGGGAATGTGCTCAACTTCTTTGTTGCTCCTTTTGCTTTCTTTCTTTTATGCGATGCTCATCTACTAGTTATAACTTACGGGTTACTATACTATATTATATTGTCGACGAATTGATTACTACTACGGATGATGGTACGATTACTAGTTAATTATAATTAATCGGGGCGATGTCATTAATAAACAATGACATCTTATCTTATAAATATGTGATGGAATTGGTATCATCTTTTGTTTGCCAATATTAATTAGTTAGTCAATATGGTAGGCAACGAGGCAAGCACATTCACGCATCTTGATGATCAAGCCTTGGGGGGAGGTGGTAGCAAGGATAGCACCATCCCACTTACTCGATCCTCTATTGAAGAGTCTTATTTGGGTGTTTAATACGGAGTATACTAATTATATTTATTGATTAACTTATTATAAAGGTGTCATTATCAATGCCTAATTTAACAAAGATTTTATTCTTTCCATATTATCATCGATTTTCGTCCAATCGACTTAAGTACGTACATGGTGAATTGAATGTAACCAATAATTATCGACATTATATTAATATATACTCTACGTAAAGTTTGAATGATGCTTATAATTAGGTTGTAATTTAAGAAGATAAAAAAAAGATGAAGACATTATATAAGATTCTAATCTGGACTTGTTTAGTCGTTTAAGGATAAAAACTTTGTATGAAAGTGTAAGGTGATTTGTGAATTAATCAAGATTGAAAATTTGTATAATATCTTATACAAAGCAAATGCGATCAATTTTCATAATGCCACAAATTCAATCTTCATTAATCATCTTTTGATAAGAAAATTTAAAACTTTTTTTTTTCTCGGTTTATATTTCATCCTCTCTCCTGTATGATTACTCAACATTTACATTTAGGATCACCTAAGATAGGTGTAACACTAATTATGATATATGTTGAAGATCATGAAACTAGAGAAAGTACTTTACTAAGTAGTGACGCTTATACATATAATTTCATACCGCAACAAAAGTGTTTAAACTTTTTTTTAAAAAAAAAAAGAACAATAGTTGTATCTCGTCTTTTCCATATCCTAAATTTTGATATGGAAATTATCCTTAGCTTATACATTGAGCCTTGATTGTTTATTCATTCAACTCAAGCAAGCTACTTACCCTTGATTACTTCCACTAGATTATCCAAAATAATGTAATTGAAAATTCAACACCATAAATCCATTACAAGACAGAAATGTAGCTTTCCTATAGATACCATTTCTACACTTTTATAATCTCAATAATCAAATATAATTGCATTGTCAAAGGAAAACAACTTCCAAAAAGAACATGATGCATGACACGATTTTAAAAACTTATGAACAAGTTATAAGACTTTAAGTAGAATACTCCATTAATTAGCTCCCAATTAAAGAAGTTTAATGAATATAGCAGTTCCTCCTAATGCTGACCTAATATATGACAATTACGTCCTATCTAACAATTATGAACATTGCATTATTTTGCTTACATACATACCGTACCCATAACAAACTAATTAATAATTATATTATTCAATTTATCAATTTTACAATATATGATTACTTGCCTCATAAGCTATATACATAATTTAAAGATGCGCCTTTTGTACATCATAAAAATAACACTTAGGCATGAAAATAATCTCCGTCTCACGTAACATGTGTTTCTAACCTAAATAATACTTGCATTAGGAAATATAGCAAAAATTAAAGATTATAGTTTATAATTCAGTGATTATATATGCTCTTGCATTAGGCAGTTAGAGAATGCAAATAGGTACGAAGAATATTATTGCTTTATCTCCACTTACAAGCAACTTGCATTTGCGACCTTCTAATCACATGCATGTCCTTGTCATGAACTCATATGTATATGGTTGCACATTTAATTTTGTGCTTTAATTTCATAGTGACTCTATTTGGTCATTTAATTTAATAATTTTAGCTAAACCAAGTTTCAATAATTTGATGAGCTACGTATTAGTACAATACTTTATAGCAATAATATAAAATATGGGAAAAAATTGGAGGGACTGCTACTTTTTTAGCTCCACTTTCAAATTAGGAAGGAGTATAAGCTAAGCAATCTAGATACATTTTATATGTATACTTCTAATTCACTGAGTTCAATCTCTCGTATTGTCGTGTTGGGTTAAAATGGCAAAGTTATTCCTTTATTATAATTGAAGGACATGTAAATATTTGCAATGCATGCATTAAACTCCACCAACCCAAATCACTTCATTCTTTTTATTGTTTTCGAACAATTATAGAATGATCTAATTCATGAAAAATTAAGTGCTTAACATTAGTGATTCATTCAATTGCTCAATTGATTTCTCGTTACATAGTACTTTTAGTTATAGAATGTATATCCAAGTATCGATTTTTTTTTTTTTTTTTTTAAATGGTGTAAATCTAAACTTTGTACTATACGAACAATAATATTTTAGCTAATATTAAGACTACAAGTCAAATTAATTAATTCAACTACATATACATCTTACACATGCTAAAAAGATCACAAACGTCTACCATAACACAACGGCTAATAATAAAAGGAAAAGTTTAAATGGTCAATAACATATAATAATAGATTAATAGTGAGATTTGGTGGAATAATGTCCCTCACCCACATTTACAAAATTTGTGTGCATGATAAAAATCGTAATAATTGAAATCGAAAACTATAGTCTAAAATGACAATTATGACAAACAAATGAAAATGATGAAATGAAGAATCCGAATGTGAAAAGATGAAAGTGGGTAGTCCAGTCTTTCTCTCTCTACTTAAAAGGGACGTTGACGGGGAAGATTTGGATTCTCGATAACATTTACTTTTCTCTCTCTTTTTTTAATTAAATCAAAATTAAAATTAAAAATAGAAATATCCGTTTTCTTCATAAATTGATGGTCCCTTTAATTCGCTTTGGGTTTGGCCCGTCCAAAACTAATGTACGCTTCAAAAAGCGTGGGGACTATCTTTGCTTTTCTGTTTTTTCTTTGACAATTGACAAGTATCACCATGCATTTTTCTTTGGATTTTATTATGTCTCTCTTTTCGTATTTTCGACACATTTCTTATTAGATAGTCTCTCCGTTTTTATTTATCGCTTATTATGTGTGTACTTCGTAAATATTTATTTTTGATTAGTTGGCTTATTTATTATTAATAATCCTAATTATTAATAAGGTTAAAAACATAAAAGAGTACTCTATAAAGATGGAACAGATCTAATAAAAATACTAATTTTATAATCTTGTTCAATACCAATCAATTAGTTGTATCATGATTATTTTTGGTTCCTTTCTTTCTCTAAAAGAGAACTAAGATAAGTGGAGACGGAGAGCTCGTAAAAGATAAGTCTTCAAAATCACAACAATTAAGGTTGAGAATTTCAATCTAAACCAACTTAGTCAATTCTAACTAAAACATTCATATTGTAGATTAGATCTAATCAACCCTATTTTTCA